ATAGCCCAACATTAGCCACCTTTAGCTTAGCGGTGGTGAAGTCATGTGACCGTGCTGTAGTTCCTTTATAGCCCAACATTAGCCTCCTTTAGCTTAGCGGTGGTGATGTGAAGTCATGTGACCGTGCTGTAGTTCCTTTATAGCCCAACATTAGCCACCTTTAGCTTAGCGGTGGTGAAGTCATGTGACCGTGATATAGTTCCTTTATAGCCCAACATTAGCCACCTTTAGCTTAGCGGTGGTGATGTGAAGTCATGTGACCGTGCTGTAGTTCCTTTATAGCCCAACATTAGCCTCCTTTAGCTTAGCGGTGGTGAAGTCATGTGACCGTGCTATAGTTCCTTTATAGCCCAACATTAGCCTCCTTTAGCTTAGCGGTGGTGATGTGAAGTCATGTGACCGTGCTGTAGTTCCTTTATAGCCCAACATTAGCCACCTTTAGCTTAGCGGTGGTGACGTGAAGTCATGTGACCGTGCTGTAGTTCCTTTATAGCCCAACATTAGCCTCCTTTAGCTTAGCGGTGGTGAAGTCATGTGACCGTGCTGTAGTTCCTTTATAGCCCAACATTAGCCACCTTTAGCTTAGCGGTGGTGACGTGAAGTCATGTGACCGTGCTGTAGTTCCTTTATAGCCCAACATTAGCCGCCTTTAGCTTAGCGGTGGTGACGTGAAGTCATGTGACCGTGCTATAGTTCCTTTATAGCCCAACATTAGCCTCCTTTAGCTTAGCGGTGGTGAAGTCATGTGACCGTGCTGTAGTTCCTTTATAGCCCAACATTAGCCTCCTTTAGCTTAGCGCGGTGGTGAAGTCATGTGACCGTGCTATAGTTCCTTTATAGCCCAACATTAGCCTCCTTTAGCTTAGCGGTGGTGAAGTCATGTGACCGTGCTGTAGTTCCTTTATAGCCCAACATTAGCCTCCTTTAGCTTAGCGGTGGTGAAGTCATGTGACCGTGCTGTAGTTCCTTTATAGCCCAACATTAGCCTCCTTTAGCTTAGCGGTGGTGAAGTCATGTGACCGTGCTGTAGTTCCTTTATAGCCCAACATTAGCCTCCTTTAGCTTACCTGAGGTGACGGCGGGGATCTTGTAGCTAGAGGTGATGCGGTAGTATGGAGGGTTGTCCATGTGAGTGACGGCTGAGCTAACAGGCTCCGTGCTCTCCAGCTCAAACATCAGCTCCTCCAGCAGCTGCATGGTCTTATCCCGACCCAGGTACACCACCACACGCTTCACCTGAGGACACACACACAAAATGCATGATGGGAGACATCTGTAAGGGCAGGGTTTAGACCTTCCTCTGTGATAAAGCTTATAGATTAACGTGCAATTCCGTATCTGCCACTACGGTTTGTGGTATTGGGCTATATGAATAAAGCTTAATTGATGTAGCATTTGGACTCACGTATAGCAGGAGGCTGGGGTCGCTGCTGACCCCCGACATGCTGGTGAGGAAGTGCAGGATGATCTTCAGGTTCTTCGGCCAGCTGTCGGCTAACGTGGTCCAAACGTTCTCGATCTCCGACCAGGCGAACTCATCCCCGTACTGAGGAGATATTCAACGTTTCAGGATTCATAATAATAATAATACCGAGCACATAGCAACTCAACGATATTATAAAATGTGACCAACCAGTTCAATGAGATGAACGAACTGGACTCCAGGTAAATCAAGCGCTTGTAATCGGATAACTTTAAACAGTCAGGGTTTGTCATTACATTTAAGATTATTTTTTCACTTTCTTGATCTGTAAGACCAGAACAAGTGAGTTACTTTGGTATTTAAAAGATTTAACCAATTACAAAAAGTTTTTTTTTCTCAGAATGTTGTCTTTTTTTTTAGAATTCAGTTTATTTCTCACATCTTTGACTTTTTTGTCAGAATTATGTTTTTTCTGAATTTTGTGTTTTTTCCTGATCTGACTTTTTTCTCAGAATATGTAATTTCTCAGAGTTGTTTTTTATCTTCTGTAAAAAAAATTTTTTCGCATAATTTTGTATTTTTTCCGCATAATTCACTTTTTTCTCAGAGTTTTGACTTTCCTCAGAATCTTTCTCAGAGTTGGTTTTTATCTTCTGTAATTTCTTTTTTTCTGCATAATTCACTTTTTCTCAGAATTTTGACTTTTCTCATTGATTTAATTTTGTTCAGAATTCATACAAAAAAATTCTAAGAAAATAATTTGGCTCAGTTTTTCCCTCAGAATTCTCCCTCAGAAATCTGTTCTCTGCTAAGTCTTCACCAGAGATGTGCTGATAGGAAATGCATTAAGACATGTTGTGATGGAGCTGTAGATCTGCAGCGTCCCTCTCACCTTGGCGGTCATGAACATGAGGTTGTTGAGCACCATGGTGGTCGCTCGAGGAGAACCCCAGCCTTCTCCTCTCAGCCAGCGCCGGCTGTTCACCATCATCGTCTCCCGCTCCTCCTCCTCTTCCTCAGCGCTGCCGCCCTCCTCCGCCCGCCTCGTGGTGGGCTTCAGATCAACCAGCTCCACGTTGTTCATCCACGGCAGCAGGTAGTGCAGCATCACCTGCCGGCCACCAGGGTGCGCTGTCTGGATCCGCTGACTCACCTCTGGAGGACAGGAAGTCAGAGCGTTAGAGAGCGACAGGAAGTCAGAGCGTTAGAGAACGGCAGACTGAGTGGACAGGAAGTCAGAGCGTTAGAGAACGGCAGACTCTGAGCGGACAGGAAGTCAGAGCGTTAGAGAGCGACAGGAAGTCAGAGCGTTACAGAACGACAGACTGAGCGGACAGGAAGAGAGCGACAGGAAGTCAGAGCGTTGGAGAACGGCAGACTGAGCGGACAGGAAGTCAGAGCGTTAGAGAACGGCAGACTGAGCGGACAGGAAGTCAGAGCGTTAGAGAGCGACAGGAAGTCAGAGCGTTAGAGAACGACAGACTGAGCGGACAGGAAGTCAGAGCGTTAGAGAGCGACAGGAAGTCAGAGCGTTAGTGAGCGACAGGAAGTCAGAGCGTTAGAGAATGACAGGAATTCAGAGCGTTAGAGAGCGACAGGAAGTCAGAGCGACAGGAAGTCAGAGCGTTAGAG